AAAAAAAAAAAAAAAAAAAAAAAATTCTTCCACAAACAGGTCAGAAACATCTAATTTGCAAATCCATGTCTGGTATGAGAATTACTTCTCTATATGTGTTGCTTTTATTAGTTAATGGATAAAGAATCGACCTTGGCCTGTGATAGGGCAGAGTATAGCTAGGCGGGGGAAAACTAAACTGAATGCTGGGAGAAAGAAGTCGGTGTCAAAGAGATGTCATGTAGCCGCCAGAGGGAATAGACGTGAGTTGCCAGCTAGAACTTTGCCAGTAGGCCACGAGCCTCATGGAAAATATAAAATAATGGAAATTGGTTAATTATAGATGAAAAAGTCGTTAGCAATATGCGTAAGAGATTGGCCAACTGTTGCTTTAAATAATATAGTTTCTGTGTGATTATTTTGGGTCTGAGCTGCCGGAAACATGTCTGTGATGCTCTAGTTTCAAAATTTTTCTTTCTGATATTTAGATGACAATGTTCAATAAAAAGTGCTTAATACTGTAAGAACTTAAAATGTTTGTAACCATTATTTTGTTCTAGCCACAGTTGTTGTTTTAGGTTAGACATAAAAGCATTTAAAACACATTCATAAAATCCTGTGTACATATTATTGTTGGACTAGTAAAAGAGAATTAACATATTGAAAATCATACTCAGTGAATAGTGAAATTTGGATAAGGAATAAAATAGTCTTCATAACACTTGGGGAAATTGCTACAAATAAAGTAATTCACATGTATGGTTACAAACAGGATAATATTTTCTAAACAAAAATTATGAAAAGTGAGGTAGAGTTTCATCTCTTCTAGCTCTGAACACTGTTCATAGATATTAAAGTATCTCTCAAGTTCTGTAAATCTGAAAGATATTTAATATGAATTCAAAGGATAAATACAATAAACCATGATTCCTCTGTTTGATTTTCAGTGCGAATAACCAATGTTCACAGACCCAAATCACTGGGTATAGGCAAGAAGATGGCAACTACAGAACCCAGTGTAAGTATGGGATCTTGGCACTTCCTCTATGAACAAAAGCATTGTGGGTGAGGGCATACATGCTGACACTTCAGCCACAGATAGAGACATGGACCTAGAACAATTTTGGTTACTGGGAATGTTATCAGTCCTTCCAACCAATGGAGATATGATACGAAGTCAGAGTACATTGTAGGTCTTCTGAAGTTTACATGGAGAAGAACACTATTACCTGAAGATGTGAGTAATGCTAACAAAATATCTCCAAATAGTTTCCTGCATGAAAATTTACTTCTAGATAATATCCAGTGTCTTTTCTTTCATACAGTATCTTGGTTGTTATTGGACAGGCCTGCCCCTCACTATTAGATCTCAGTGGCCTCAAACATCTGTGCAAACTTCATGATTCAGTCTATCAAGTATTTATATTACAGGGATTATCTATCATCCTAGATTTATAGAGAATTTGAATTAACGATGCTATAAGAAAGTTTCCCTTTCTTACATTTTGTAAACATCATAACATTTAGATCACTGGATGATAAAATTGACTTTTAAAAAGCAGTTACGGTAAAATCTGTTTAATAATTTCAAACTTACTACCCCAATTTTGAAAAAAAAATGCTAAAATAATATCAACACTATTCAACTGAATTGTACACAGCATAACTTTTGGCTTGATTTTAAATGAAGAGAAGGCACATTCTTCTGGCAAAAATAATGCTTTTCTAACCTCACACGAATATTAAAAAGCAGTTCTTGTAACAGAAAATGACCAGATCCTAAAATCCATTTATTTTCCTGTGAACCATTCTATCATTCAATTAGTATCTGTAAGTGGAAATATCATAGACACACACACATAAAACACACACACACACACACACACACACACACACCAGAGAGTTTTTCATCTTACAAGTTGTAAGATGAAAACTTTTGTGCATATTTCTAATGAGTACAGTCCTTTTTGCATATGTATCCCTTTGCCCACCAGGTATTATTATGATATGACACCAAAGTTTTACACTTTCAGGAAACTGACAAGTGGTCTTTTGGATCTGATTGAAATGGGAAGAATTACCCAACAGAGTGATCGCACAGGTCTTGACACAGGAATTCAGAGAAAAGGGAATGTGTTTCTACCTAAGATTCACTACCAGGTTTAAAGAGTAAGAATGATTGGTTACCACATTATGATAGGATATGTAAAATGAATGACTACAAGAATACCTTTATACATGTGTGTCATATAAAAGTGAATCAGAGATGATTGCAGAATCGGGGTCAATATTAATGTTTAGTCAACCGGTAACATCCAACAAAGTAGAAAAGTGGATGACACTGAGTTTTGAAATGTGTCTGTTATTGCAGTTGAAGGGGATAATGTATTTAAACCTGTGAGTGCAACAGAAGACAACATAGTCTTTACCAGTGAGAATGTGGATAGAGCCGGCCGGACAACAAACTTGATTTTTGTTGTTGGTAAGAATGGTAGTGGGTTTCCTGAAATAATAACAAAAGTATGACCCTGTAAATGAGGATTAAGTCAGATTCACCCACCAAATACTGTATCCTGTTATTTCCAAACTCTTATCAACTAAATAACAGTCCATTTGTTTTGTGAACCAACTTTTACATTATACTATAATTCAAGTACCATGGTCATTGAAGACTAGGGACAATGGTGGGGTGGGGGGTATTGGAGGATTTTATGTTCATGCTTCCTCACTGGAAAGAACAGAGTAAAATTGAGTATTTTCCCACAATTCAGACCATTTTGAGTTCATTTGTTCAAGTGCGTTCTAAATTACAACATGAACTCTAGAGTATAGATTTGGGAGAAAAGTGAAGCTTCCATTCATAGGCAACCATGACTTTCTAGTGTTAAGTTTTTAGAAAGTGGGTAGGATTGAGATGAGTGAATTCTCTAGAGAAGGTTTTGTTTTTAAGTTTTTGATGCATCATGAAACGCTGAAAAGTGATGCCATACCATCATTTAGACATTTTTAAATGTGTCCGTGGAATTTTCAAAAATTTTTATTGCCTCTATTGACTCACCCAGGGTAGTTAAATTTAGAGAAGTTGGTATTTCTATTCTATGTAGTGGTGGGATACTAAGGATGCAATGTAAATTATCCAGAATTCTACTGATCATTTCTCTGCCATTGGAATTCATGCAATGTAGGAAAAGGTCAACCTTTGACTCCTGAACAACATGAAAAACTTGAGGCATATGCTAAGGAACGTAGCATTCCACCAGAAAACATTCGAGATGTTCTTGCTACAGGTAACCTTAATTAATATTTTTGTCCATAGCATCCATAAATACATACATACATATGTATACGTATAACAATGGATATTTATAAATACATGTATGTGTATCTACATACTGAGTCTGTCTTTCTATGTATCTGTTTATGTATTGATGTATCTATTATTCTATGTATCTATCTACCTACTTATCTACTCAGTAAGATCTCTGAATCATGTTATATCTAGCTATATGTTATCTTTCAGTTGTTCTTTCCAGCAGCATCCCCTGGGGAGCTGTTCTCGTATTCTTATGAGATCAGTTCTGTTAATCCTTACTCCATTCCACTTCTTTTACAGATACTTGTCCTAAATAATGATCTTCTGTAGGTGAGTAGGAACAGAAGCCATGTCTAATCACTTTGATATTTGAGTGAATTTGTGCTTATTATTTTAAAAAATTGGAGACAAGTATGGGACCAAGGGAAAAATGAATGCAAAATAAAGACAGGTTATTATTTGTCTTTTAAAACTGAGAATCTTACTGTGTCATTATTTCCTGTCAACAGTGCTCCTATAGAATTCAAAGCACAAGATATTGGTGATTTCTAGGGAAGAAACGGTTCATGTGCAATCCCTTCTCTATACTCTATATTGTTATATTAATTTTGTATTCATACATTCTCAAGGATGCAAACTTTCCTGTCTGATCAACCATGTTTTAATATTTTCGTTCATGTCTGCAGAGATGACAACAGGATGAGAATTATGCATCATGTCCTCTTTACCACGGAATTAGCATCACATACAAATCCCCATTTCTTTCTGAATTAATTTCCCCTTGACTGTGAATTCAAGATACCACCATCCAATATCCTGACTTACCTTTCCTTTCTCGTCTTATGATCTATGAGCTGTTACTTTTTGAATGATTCAATAAAATGTTTCAAGAAGCAATGAGGACCTTGTGAAAAGGATTTCATTTAAAAACCACTTAAACCTTCACTAAGCTAATTAAAATCACCACTCGGCTGTAAGAAATGATATCTGTATTAGTAGAAGTTACTGTAATAATTGGAAACTTTACAGTTCCTAGAGAGCCATGGGCAAGAACTCTGCTGTGGTAAATTGTGTGTTGTGCTCTTATTTACCTTTGGTTATTTGCAGATAAATGGTCATAACACTTTCAAAGATTTCACGCAACAAAATCTTTGGATCTGCCTCCATGTTACACATTATTTAAAACAAAGGATAAAATATGTTTTCAATAGTTCATATGAGGAGATTATCTCTTGTTAAATGACTTCAGTAAGTAAGCAAATGAATCAAGATATTCTTAAATAATGTACATATAAGGAATCATTCTCACTTGAAGAATACATTCATGAAAATTATAACAATCCCTATAAATATTCATATATTTATTATAATTTTTTTGTTTGTGATACAATGATTCATTAGAATATAGTTAGCTCTCAAAATAGAAAAGACAATGCAATTTTTTTTTTTTTTTTTTTTAGACAGGGTTTCTCCGTAGCTTTTGGTTCCTGTCCTGGAACTAGCTCTTGTAGACCAGGCTGGCCTCGAACTCACAGAGACCCGCCTGCCTCTGCCTCCCGAGTGCTGGGATTAAAGGTGTGCACCACCAACGCCTGGCTTCTTTGAGAGCTTTAAACAAGGAAAAAGAAAAGATATTAGACAGTGTCGTTACATCCAGTCTCTCATCTAAAGATATAACCAAGTCAAAGTACATTCAATATTCATAGGCAACAGATATGAATTAGAAAGGATGAAATAGTTTCTTGTTGAATAAAACCTGTTATTTAACCTTTCTTTTGTGTCTTGTAAAACAAAGTGACATCAGAACAAATACTGGACTAATGTTTAATAAAAGTTCTGTATATCCAATGTACATTTACATCACTTCACCCAAATCTCAAAATAATTACTACTATACTTGTGTCCCATCTCCTCTTCCAATTTTTCCAAGTTCTTCATGAATATTCATATTTATTTAGAAGTATGTGTGAATATGTGTGTGTCTGTGTGTGACTGTGTGTGTATTTAAAGAGAGGAGATTGGTAGAGTAATTTATAGCCCATATGAGTCCATTTAGTGTTTTTAATATGGATACATATTTAGTGCTGGTCCCTTGGTCTTCAATTACTTACAACTTATGAGTAGTCTCATTTTAGAGGTAAAAGAAACATGGCTACTACTTTTACTATCAGAAGTTTCTTTCTATGTTGCCAAGGTTTCAAATGGCATGGAAGTTCTTAAGCTCACCATTCACATCGTCATAACATAGCTAGTTTGCCCAATCTAAGAGGTAACTCAGAGGTGATTAGTTGAACTTTCATCCTGAGCTATAGAAGATAAATCATGCTTGGTTCCATAAACATGTCCAACTACCATTGTTGATTTCATCAACCAGTGTAATTTCTATGAGCGTTCTGAATGGTAATTTCTTAATCAAGACTTTAGAGATGATTTAAATATCGATCTTAGTTTGTAGTACTCTCATGTTGACCAAGATAATCTTCCTTCATCAATTTGTAGAGTGTATTGTTATTTCTGCAGATATGTTCTTATAATAGCCAGAAACCTCCCAAAGCTGTCAGTTTTGCAAGTTAAGAATTCCAGGGATTGTTATTTCTCTGTGTTCTCAGCAAACTAAACATCAAGAAAACAAATGACTTCTTTCCAAACCTGGATTATAGATCTAAAAAGCATGTTCTCAGAATGTGAAACACAAAGATCTGAGAGACACTTAAAAGTGTTCAATATTTTTAGCTGTTAGGGAAATATAATTAAAACTATTTAGATATTTTGTCTTACTGCTGTCAGCATGGCCTAGCTCAATAAAAGAAATGATGCATGGAAAGGGCTGCACTTGGTCCTGGTTGGGGGAAGTGAAAACTCATTTAGCTGTTGTCAAAATCAATGATGAGTATCCTAAAGATGACATCAGTCTTACCACAAGTCCTTCAAAGAAGAATTACAACCCAACTATCTTGACATTGTTTTTTTCAGGAATACACAGATGACCCCAGTTAAGAATCTAAGCAATAGTGGAGAGGGTACCTTGCTGTGAGACAATGGTCTTCTACTCATCCCAACCCACCCCTAAATTCCAAATTTTTGCCCGGCAATCTTGTCTAATTACCATATCCAAGAATATGACTATATGTTTTTCTTTAGGTTCACCCTTCTTATTTAGCTTCTCTAGGATCACAAATTATAGGCTCAATGTCCTTTATTTATGGCTAGAAAAAGAAGAATGAGTGAGTACATCCCATGTTCATCTTTTTGGGTCTGGGTTACCTCACTCAGGATAGTGTTTTTTATTTCTTTCCATTTGCATGCAAAATTCAAGATGTCTTTGTATTTTACCGCTGAGTAGTACTCTAATACGTATATATTCCACACTTTCTTCATCCATTCTTCCATTGAAGGGCATCTAGGCTATTTCCAAGTTCTAGCTATTATAAATAATGCTGCTATGAACATAATTGCACAAATGCTTTTGTAATGTGATAGGGCATCTCTTGGGTATATTTCCAAGAGTGGTATTGCTGTGTCCTGGAGTAGGTTGATCCCGAATTTCCTGAGAAATCGCCACACTGATTTCCAAAGTATTTGCACAAGTTTGCATTCCCACCAACAATGGATGAGTGTACCCCTTACTCCACAACCTCTCCAGCAAAGACTATCATTGGTGTTTTTGATTTTAGCCATTGTGAAAGGTATAAGATGTTATCTCAAAGTTGTTTTGATTTGCATTTCCCTGATCGCAAAGGAGGTTGAACATGACCTTAAGTGTCTTTTGGCCATTTGAATTTCTTTCGTTGAGAATTCTCCTTTCAGTTCAATGCCCCATTTTTAATTGGGTTAATTAGCATTTTAAAGTCTAGTTTCTTGAGTTCTTCATATATTTTAAAGATCAGACCTTTGTCTGTTGCAGGGTGGGTGAAGATCTTCTCCCAGTCAGTAGGTTGCCTTTTTGTCTTAGTGACAGTGTCCTTTGCTTTACAGAAGCTTCTCCATTTCAGGAGGTCCCATTTATTCAAAGTTGCCCTTAATTTCTGTGATATTGGGGTTATACATAGGAAGTGATCTCCTGTGTCCATAT